AGAAGTCCCAGCTGGTCCCTTTGCAAACTGTGAAATACTTTGAGGTACTGGATAGATGCCCGCAACAGGTTGGTATCCCTCCCTCAGGAGAAGGTCTCCTTGCTAAATACAGAGGCAATGAATCTTTGTTTAGCGAAGCATCCTGCAGGTCAATCATGAGTGTTCTGGGGTTGATGACATCAGCCATGCCGGCGGTCTTTTGGGCACAGTTGCTGTCACGTACCTTAAAGGAGTCTGAAATGTCGAGGGTGGCCTCTCTCACTTCTCTGGTCCTGGGGCACCTGGATGGGCCACAGAACACCAGGGCACAGAGGGGCAGGAGTGCCAGTAGTAGCAGAATCTGTTGAGCAGGAAATGCAGAGATGGGTGCAGGTCAAGTAGGCAATGGATGAGCAGAATAGTCAGGACAGACCGAGGTCATCAACTTGCATGTAACGCAGTACAAAGGATGAGGCAGGAACAACGTCCGGGACAAGCCGAGGGTCTAAGCACTGGAGAGAAGCAGAAGGGTCAAGCCAAGCCGGGTCAAAAAGAGATACACACTTCAGGAACAGGATACAGGAACACAGGGAAGCTGACAAATCTGACCGCAAAGGAGGTCTGGTGGTCACAGTCTTAAATAGCCCAGAGGGTGCCAAACATTACGTCGGCGTGTGCACATACGCGTGCATGTTCATGCAGATGCATGTTCATGGGCTGCACCAGGTGCATTCGCATGTGCAAACTGCGGTGTAAGAATCCTGGGTCTGGCTTCCTGACAGTTGCATTTCAGGCCCCTTTCTCTTTAGCCAGTGGGGTGGAGAACCAGAGTGCCTAGACAAGAAGTTGTTACTAACAGACCCAGTCAAGCATTTATTACTTTGGTGGATGGACAGTCAGAACCTTGGGGGGGATACCGTGTTTCCCCGAAAATAAGACACTGTCTTATATTTTTTTTTCCCCAAAAAATCCACACTAGGTCTTATTTTCGGGGATGTTTTAATGTCAGAAGTTACCTCAGTGACTGAGGCTTAGTCACCTCATCTCACCTCACTCCGACCCCACTGGCCATGCCGCGCCGCTGCCTGCTGGGAAATGTAGTTTTCTGCCCGGTGGCAGCTCTCTAAGCAAAAGTCGAGGCAGACAGGTGCCTGCTGATTTTCGAGACTCGGGCGGCATGCGGGAGCTGCGGCACAGCAGTCAGTTCCCACCGTGTACTCTGGTTGCTCTCTGAGCCACCCCACCCCCAAATGACAGAATACCAGGCCCCCCTCCCAGCCTCGCCACCCCCTTCCTACGGCCCTGCCAGTGGCGCAGACAGTGGACAATGCGGTAAAGTGCATGCTACCGTACCAGCAAACTAGGTCTTTTTTTTCGGGGTAGGTCCTGTATTACAGGAATCTCTAAAGATAGTGCTAGGTCTTTCTTTCGGGGTAGGTATTATTTTCGGGGAAACACGGTAGGTTATGGAGTCAGCCAGAACCACTCAGGGTCACCACAGATGCCAGCGCTTGGGGGTGGGGTGCCCACCTTTAGGATCTCATTGGCCAAGGGACGTGGGATCGCGTTTGGTGGAACAAGTCTTCAAACATGAGAGAGTTGAAGGCAGTGGGCCTTGCCCTCTTGCATTTTCATCGACAAATAGAGAGATAACGTGTTGGTACTGTGAGACAACACCACAGCAGTGGCGTTCGTAAACCGACAAGGAGGGGACCAGGTCACAGGCCTCGATGACACAATCTTGTCTTGGGCCGAAAGCAAGCTCCTTTCTCCGACAGCTGTTAATTTGAAAGGAAGCTTGAATTGTTTAGCGGATACCAACAGCGGGAGGGAATGACAGAAAACGGAATGGTCTCTGGATGCACAAACCTTCCATTGGATAGTCAGGGCATGGGGGTTGCCAGAAGTAAACCTATTTGCGTGAGCAGCAGCAAACAAGAAAGTAGAACGATTTTTCTCCCTCACAGAAAGCGACAGAGGTCTGGGGGTGGACGCCCTTGCCCACCCTTGGAAGTTCCGGTTGGTGTATGTGTTCCCCCCTCTGCACTTGATTCCAAAAGTTATAAGGAAACTGGAGAGGGAGGAAACATCATTAATGCTGATTGCCCCATTTTGGCACAAGAGGCCTTGGTTCACTGCCCTTCTGGATCTGAGCAGGGAAATCCCTTTACCTCTTCCACTGAAAAAAAATCTGTTGACGCAAGGATCGGTGCGTCACCCACAGTTGCAGGTACTGCGTTTAACGGCCTGGTTTCTGAGAGTGACATCTTAAGGTCTTAAGGCCCTGGGTAAGGGGTTTTCTGAAAGAGTTGTGTCCACTCTCCTAGAAAAGCTTCCACATCAGCCATCTACTACAAGGTGTGGAAGGTTTTTTCCACCTGGCGGGATAGACAGAGAGTCACCACAGTGGGAAAGGTGGCACAGGTGTTGGAGTTCCTGCAGGAAGGTTTAGATAAGAACCTTGCTTGCAGCACTTTAAAGGTGCAAGTTTCAGTACTATCCAACTTTTTGGATGTTAGGCTAGCAGGGGACTCCCTTGTCAAGATTCCTGAAGGCAGCAGGTAGGTTGAGATCCCCAAAGCTTAAAAACTTTCCTGCCTGGGTCTGTTGTCCTTCAAGGGTTCCTCAGACTACCTTTTGAACCAATTAAGGACTGCTCCATCAGAGCGCTCACTTTGAAGACAGTGCTACTGGTAGCTTTAGTATCTGCCAAGAGCGTGAGTGAAATACATGCATTTTCTATGCGGGAACCGTATTGCACAATCTTGACTGACAAAATTGTGCTGAGACCTGACCCAGCTTTCTTACCAAAAGTGGCCTCTATTTTTCACAGGATGCAAGAGGTCATCATACCGTCATTCTCAACTAAACCGATGAATGACACAGAAAGGGGATGGCAGGGCATCGATGTGAGACGATGTATGCTGGGAGTATCTGTCTCAGACTAATGAATGGAGGAAGTCGGATAACCTCTTTGTCCTATTCCATGGTCCAAGTAGGTAGTACAACTAGGTGGATTAGAGTTGCCATTTCCGAGACTTACCACTCCCAGGGTTAGACGTTACCTGGAAATTCCATGGTCACATTCCACCAGAGCCTGGGCTACCTCAAGGGCAGAAAGAGCAGGGGCATCACCAGATCAGATCTGCAGAGCAGCCACCTGGTCCAGCTTCCAGACATTCGTCAGACATTACAGAATCGATATACTGACTCAACAGGACCAAGCTTTTGTCAGGAAGGTCCTGCAGGCAGCCCTAAGTAAGCATGGTTCTTGCTTATCCTCTCATTGGTTGTCCTGGAAGATGACTGGGGAAAACATAAGTTAGTTACCTGTTTCCAGGAAGCTTCCAGGACAGGGTTTGAGAACTTACTCATGTAATGGCCTTCGGTCCTTGAAAGTACTGAGGTGGGATTGTAGGAGTGTCTTTTTAAAGAAAATCTAATGTGGATGATATGTTTCCTGTTTCAGGTGGGCGGAGACCTCTCTCATTGGCTGTCCTGGAAGATTCCTGGAAACAGAGTTACCGGGTACAGGGCTGTGAAATTCCTATTGCCCGTTGCCTGGGACATGCAGTTCCGAGCGCCGGGTAGGTAGTTTTTTTTCTACATTTAGCCCTACTTCGGGCAAGCAGGGCTAAATTTAGAGCGCGGAAGCTGCCACTCCTTTTGTACGGTTGTCACAAGTGATCAGCTACCCAGATCACTTGTAACAGCCTGCTTGTCCCGCCTCCTGTGGGCAGCGCCACTATGTAACCTGAAGAAGGGGAAGAGCCAGAGCGGGGCCCTTCTCCCCAGGGCCCAGGGTATTTCATAGGACGTCTTCTAGGCTGTACACACTGACAGGGGTGTATGAGGGCAGCTGCACTGCCTGCTTCCACTAAGGTGCAAGGCAATGTCTGGTATCGGTCTGTCCCTGCATCCTCATCTTCCACATGACCATCTTATGTGTATCTGAACTGCTGGAGCACTACAAATCCCAGCATGCCAGGAGCTGCCAAGGATGCAGTTATCCCAGAGGAGCTATGTATCCAGTCCCAGTAAGGGGGTGGGGTGTGTGTGTGTGCGACAGCTTCTGTGATTCATTGGAAAAATATATCACCAGCCCTGCAAGGGATACAGGTGCAGGTCTACAAATAGAGAACCAGAGATGCCGGCTGTATGTTGAGAAAGGATCCTGCAAAGCCCCGAAACTGGTTGATGTCTGACCAGTGGAGGCTTTAGGTGAAACTCAAATGTGAGGCCCCACTTAGACCCATAATGTACAAAATTCAAATAAGAATTAAAAAGGACAGCTAGGAATTTACATCTCCTAAGATTTGTATTTGTGTCTCATTTCTAATTCTACAAATGTCTATATAGTGGTCAGACATGTCGGTACAGTGGGTGGTCAGTGGTCTGGCATGTCGGAACAGTGGGTGGTCAGTGGTCTGGCAGTGGGTGGTCAGTGGTTAGGCATGTTGGTACAGTGGGTGGTCAGTGGTCAGGCATGTCGGTACAGTGGCTGGTCAGTAGTCAAGCATGTCCAACTATTTTTTTTTTCCCTTTTAATTTGTAAAATGTTCATCTTTTCCATGCTTTCGGTGTCCTTGTCTCACACGGTTGTTGCACCACTTTTGTATTGAATGACACCCATCCAATTCCTTCCTGTGAGGCTAGGCTGTCATTGACACACCCTCTGTGTACAGCGTCATCCCTCAGCCTAGGTTTACAGTGTACTGCTGTCTGTGTTGCAACATCTTGAGTGCTGTTCTGTCCAGCATTGAAGCCTGCCCACAGACTGATGCCGGAGAAGAGGAACAACATTCATCATGTTGCTCCACTGAAACAAAGTGGCTATGTATGCTAAAATATGCTTTTTTAGCAGCTGGAGTTTGGTGTTAAATTGAACTGAATTTCCATTTTGACCACTGTTGTACTAGCAGTTTAATGATTGATTTTATTTGATGCCTGGAGTTATTTAGCATGTAAAATTATTTAACTCAGTAATGCAGAAGTATAATTTCGTATTTTTTCCCTTTTAGGTGTTTAAGCATACAAGTCAACAGGAAGGATGCAATCCTGATGTATGGGTTAATTTGGCTTGTGCATATTTCTTTCTGGGAATGTATAAAGATGCAGAGGAGGCAGCCAATAAAGGTAATATTAAAAGAGGTAAAATGGTAATGAATACTTTATTTGTATATTTAGGGGTCTATTTTTAAACGATTCCCAGAGCCATTTGCCCAGCGAATCTCTGTGGAATGTTCGTTTCGTGTGAATAGAACAGCAAAAACAAATGTTCTTACTATGTTTTCAAATGTTATAATGCATTATGGCCACTAGATGCATCTGAGGAGCATACCGCAGGAAATAATATGTATTTATTTAGGCGAGGTGCAGGTCAGGACGTCATCCGACCCTTCTCTCCACCTCATTTTATCAGAGAACGCCTTGTATTCGTTGAAAAAAAATAATAAAGGGCATTCTCTGAATGGTGGCAGTGCTAAACTATGCAGAAAAAAAGGTAAAAGAAAGGGTTTGTTTAGAGATGTATATTGAACCATGCATGAAAATATATCAGATTTATTGTACATAAAATGTTTCAGTTGATAAAACTCATAAATAACATTGTTACATACATTAGTGGATATAATATCCCAGTTTTGACCAACATGATTCATCCCTTCTTAGTGGGTAGCCCAAAATACATAAATTAATTTACTAAAATTCTAATACATATCAGCCATGATTCATTCCAAATTATCCATTCATTGTATAATCTCCAAGTTATGTCTATCAAAATTCGTGTTTCGCATTTAAGCTTCTTCAGGGGATCGGATTCATCTTTTATGGAGTGCCTGGAGGTGGGTCGACGTGAGGAGGACCAGGATGAGGTGGGTGGCTATGTCTAGCCCTGCCATCGCATACCGTCCATCATCTCTACCGGGACCCCGGGGCCTCAAAGGGAGGAATGCCCTAGGCAGTGTAAGAGAGTCAAACCAAACCCTATTCGGAACGGTGACCTAATTCTGATCAGAATTAGGTCACCGTTCCGAATGGGGTTTGGTTTTTCTGATCAGAATTGCAAAACTGTGAACCTGGCCTTAGAAAGATATAGCAAGCTGGCTTTAGAGTCTTTTTTGTGGTCTTTGACAATTAATTACTTCACAATACATTCAACAAGAGAGATCAGAGATTGCTTGTTTTGAAGCTCTTTTACTGATGGTTAACAGGGGTGTGGAATTCGTATCGCCGAACGCCTGGGACATGTAGTTCCGGGCGCCGGGCAATTGTTTTTTTCAGTGTTTTAGCCCTGCTGCGGACAAGTAGCAGGGCTGATTTTTTTTTAACTGAGCGGCTAGAGCGGGGGGCGTGGAGTGGTGATGGAGCCGTGACAGAACAGTGCGCGATCCGTGATTGCCCGGTCATAGTACATGAAACCGAACGGATGGCTGTGCGGTCACTGAATCGCACACCACTGCCGATCGCGCTGGCAGTGCCATTATTTTCTAATGGCACCCCAGTCGTGTCAGGCAGATCGCACGGTTTCCCGCCGAAATATCGCCCGGGCAGTCGTGCACGATCGCATTTGAAAATACTGCGCGATGGGTGTCGCGAGTAAAGGTACATGTACCTTTTTTCAGTGATTGCCATGCAGATGTAACCCCAAACATGCGGATGCAACCGCTGTATACAACCACACACGATTGCACGTCCCAGGATTGCCCAAGTCTGCACCAACCCTAAAGGGTAAATGCACTTTCCCAAGTAGTTGGGAAAATGGAATTACCCGCACAAATGTCCCTCCCGCTATACTTCCAGACCACCAGTACGGGTGTACTATCTGTGCATGTTCCATGTATTCTGAATTTCGCTCGCAAATTGCAAGCACTCGTTGGTCAACGCGGTCACCTGATGACGTTGACCAATGAGAAGTGCTTCCTAGCACTGCTAAATACGGTTTTGGTTAAAATATTTTTTTTGTATCAGGAGAAATAGATTGTGGGGGCGTGTCCTGGACATGGCGGCGCTCAGATGTGCTTAGCGTGAGCTCTGAACACGCTACCTGCAAATCAGACATCCTGGACTCAGACGAATCCCCAAATTCCTACCGAAAATATGAACAAGAAAACCACGCGTGCGGGAGCCTCAAAAACTTCCTCTACCAGCATCAAAAAATACCTAGCGGTAGAGCAGTCGGGCTCGTCTACCCCACGCAACGCGGCTAAGACTGGCTCACAGGATATACGCTCAACACACTTGTCACCTTGAGGAATGGACCCTGAGTCATCCTACCTTCGGCCTGGGACCCGAGACGAGCGGGAGCCCCGGTATATCACCTCGATGGACGAACTGGTGCGTACTCTTCCCACTAAGTAAGATTTGGCAGACATGCTTTGCACCCTTGAGAACTCATTGAAAGTCGACATCCTGTCGCTCAGAGGTGAGGTCACCCACCTCCTTCATAGAGTGGAGGAGACGGAGAGCCGATTGGACAGCCACGCCACTGCCATAACGGCTCTGCAGTCCCACCTCCAGCTCGCGGCCAAGACGCAAAGAGACCTCTCATATCGCCTCGAAGACCAGGACAACCGGGGACGCTGCAATAACTTGCGGGTAAGGAGTCTATCTGAGGCGATCTCTGATCGTGACTTGGCGGACACACTATGGGGTATCTTTAATTCTACACTGGGAAAGGCCCCCGACACTCCCCTTAAGTTCGATAGGGCGCATAGAACACTCCGTCCACGGGGTCTACAGAATGAAACATCCAGAGATGTGATATGCCGCCTACACTACCACACAGATAAGGAAGCTATTTTGATGAAGCTCTGGGAGAGTCCGCTTATAGATTTTGAAGGCGTCCACCTACAAATCTTCCCTGACCTGGCTAGGGAGACCCTTTTCAGACGCAGGGCTCTGCGTCCGCTGCTGGAGCTTCTTCGCTCTAATAACATCCAGTATCGATGGGGCTTTCCGGCCTGTCTAATTGCTAGAAGGCAAGACGTCAGTTCTTCGCTTCCCTGAAGACTTAGATGCATTTTCTGAATCTCTGCGTATCACCATACCGAAACTACCGGAATGGGGTGACTCTTTGCCTTCCCTTCCATCACTGACGGACCAACAATGGAGGTCAGTGGGCACTATCTCCTCGTCTACCCGACACAATGTTTGAAAGAACAATGTATGCCTTTCTCTCTAACTCTACCTAAAGTATGGCCCCTTCTGTTAAAGCCAAGCTTAACTGCTAAAAACTTGCTGAATATGGGCCGAGGAACATGTACAGGTGAAACTCGAATAATTAGAATATCGTGCAAAAGTAATTGCAGTAAGTGCTGCAAAAGGGGCCCAAACCAAGTACTGAGTACATATGCATGCTTTGTACTTTTCAGAGGTCCGATATTGTTCTATGTACAATCCTTGTTTTATTGATTGCATGTAATAATCTACTTTTTTGAGGTTGTGGATTTGGGGTTCTTGGGGTTTTCATGAGCTGTAAGCCATAATCATCACAATTATGACAAATCACGGCTTGAATTATCTTGCTTTGCATGTAATGAGTCTATCTCATATATTAGTTTCACCTTTTAAGTTGCATTAGTGAAATAAATGAACTTTGCACGATATTCTAATTATTCGAGTTTCACCTGTATGTTGGTTTTTTTTTTTCCCTCTGAGTCACAACGGCCTTTTCCATCTGGCCGAATTTAGGGTGTACTACTACTGAGACCTTGGTGAATATATTTGCTTATAAATAAGTAGTGTTAATGTTAATGCAATGCTAACGATACGAATTTTGCGGGTGCGTGCTGACCTGGGCGACAGTGGAAGTGAATAAGTGCTTCGGCTTCCCTGGCGGCCTAGGGTTAGGCTTGACCGGTAGCGCCTCTTTTGGCCATGGCGTTTTCCCCCTGCAAAAGGTGCATATGGTTCCAAGAGAACCCGTTTTGGTAATGTTATATCTCAGTGTTTCTGTTCTTTTTTTTTTTCAAATTCTTTATTTAACAAAACAAAATCACCGATGACCAAGCATGATCATCAAAGACTCCATCCAGAGGCCAAAGTAATCAATAATCGTATTACATTTCCATTAGTGTACATACATCAGGAAACTAAGATACTAGTAAATCATCCTGCGCCCCCAGAATACCTTATGAAAACAGATATCTTGTGCCGTCATTAGTGAAATCCTTTGTTCTTTTTAAGCGTATTCAAGTATGGGAGAAAGAGAAGAAAAGAAAAAAAAAAGGGAAAGGAGGAGGAAAAAATGCTAGTTGGGGGGGAGGGGGGGTTGCCAAAGGGAGGAAAAGAGGACAGCCAAAGAGAGAGGGATGAAAAAGGAAGGACCCTTCGCCTGTGATCCAGGTGTACCTCCTCCGCTATGCCCCTCAGAGCAACTCCCTGTACTCCGAGGAATCAGCAAACAGATCCCAGTAGAACCAGGTTTGAGAAAAGGCCTCTGTTCGGTCCCCTAAAGCTGCTGTCAGATTTTCCATCTCTCTAATCTCAGATACTCTGTTAAGCCAGTGAATTCTGTAGAATCTCTTCCTTGAGGGTATATGAGTGAAGGCAGCAAAGAACATCTCTCGGCTGAGCCATGGAAGTATTTCGTGGGCCAAGGGTTCTGTGTACCCTGTCGATCGCTATGTCTGAGTGGGCAGGGCGTTCCAATAGCAGGTTGAATATGCCTGTCACAGTAGAGCGTAGATCAGCAGGTGCCGTAGCCTCAGGGATTCCCCTAATACGAACATTCTGCCTGCGACTGCGGTTTTCTAGATCATCCACTAGCAATTGAGTAATGCGAGAAGACATATCTCCACATGTATGATCCAGAGCATGAATAGCCCCTCGAAGGGAGGACTGACCCTCCTCCACCTTAGCGACTCTAGCTTCCACCTCTGTCACCTGTGTACGGACAGTGGCAATGTCCTGTTGTAAAGCGTTTTCCACACGTGCAGCTAAGGCCTCAAAGTCATTCCTAGTGGGCAGAGATTGAATAAGATGCCAGAGGGCCTTTTCCCCAGGAGTAGCGGCAGCCAAAAGTTCAGAGGGAAGGCTGACCCCCCTCACCCGCAGCTGATACAGTGGTGCACCCTATAGGTGATGCAGACTGGGAATGATCCCCCTGAGAGGCCGCCTGGAACAGCAGCACAGGC